GGAGCTGTGCAGTGGGGCAGGGCCCCAGAGGTAAGCCGCCTTGTGCCTGCCTGTAGGCTAGGAGGCTGGCCCAGGGGCTGCTTTGAGCATCCGGGTGCTCAAGCCTCCACCCTGGTCTTCCCAGGACATGTGAGCAGCCACAGGAAGTGGCTTCGAGGAACAGAGAGGAGCGGGTGAGTTGGTGTGGCTCCTGTGGGTCTGAGGGTTCCCATCATGTCTTAGGCCAGCACACTGCCCAGACCCACACGGCAGCCTGGGGTGCACGTGGGAGAGCGTGGCCCAGTCCTCCCTTGGCTCCCACCCCCCCCAGGCTTCAGGGTCTGCCTTCTATGGTGGTGGCAGGGAGGTGAGAAACGCACTGAGGTATAACTGTGCTCCCCGTGTGTCCTCCGGGCTACAGGCCACACACCCACGGGAGATTTTCAAGCAGAAGGAGAGGGCCATGTCTACCACCTCTATCTCCAGCATGCAACCAGGTGGGAACCCGCTCTGGGCTCAGACACGAGCAGGAGGCGAGGAAGGCTGGTGTCCTGGGCAGGGCCCTCAGACCTGGTGACATGAGGGACAAGTGAGCAAGGAGAGGGCATCCTGGGTCCATGAGCTCACTGGTGGTCCCTGTGGGTCAGTGTGGATGGTGAGTGGTATGGACAGCAGGCGGGTTTCCAAAGTGGATGAATGTGGTTTTGCAGGCAAGCTGAGGAGCCCCTTTCTGCAGAAGCAGCTCACCCAGCCAGAGATGTCGCTCAGCAGAGAGCCAGCTCCCACCACCACAAGGCCCAGGCCAGGCAAGGCACTTGTCACCCATGGGGCCCAGGAGGGAGGTGGCAGGAGGCAGGGTCAGACGTGCTGTGTCCTCAGTGCAGATGTCTGTGAGGAGCCAGTGCCCAGCACCCCTCCATGTCTGGTGCAGGCAGAAGAGGAAGCCGTGTACGAGGAGCCCCCGGCACCGGAGACCCTCTACGAGGAGCCACCGCTGGTGGGTTCTCTTGCCATGGGCAGCAAGGAGCCACAGGCCTGGGTTTTCACAGCACACTGCAGGGCTGGTGACACTTAGGGTTCTCGTTTGACATCAGAATAGCCATGCTGAGTCATGCGGACCAGTGCCTGGGTAGCTGCTATGGTCCATGGATGGAGGGATTTGCACTCTCTTTTGGCTGGGGAAGCGGCTGTGCTGTGGGTGTGTGGGAGCAGTGCCCCACCCAGTGCCACAGAGCCCCCTGTCCCCTAGCCTGACCCAGTGACAACCCCCCTCACTCCAGCAGGTGGAACAGCAAGGTGCTGGCTCTGAGCATGTTGACCACTACATGCAGGGCCAGGGGCTCACCGGGCAGGGGCTGTGTGCCCGGGCACTGTACGACTACCAGGCAGGTGAGTGCCCAGCCACAAGCCGCAAGGGTGATGAACAAGAGCTGCAGCTCTCAGGGCAGCAGCATTAGGGGTCGGGAGGAAGAGATGAGGTGTGGGGGGAGTTGGGGTATAAGCCAGTCTGCAGGTAACCCTGGCCCTGGGCTCCCCACATGACCCAGACAGATACTCGCCATCCTTGTGGAGCCTCAGACACTGCTCACGGTTCTGTCAGGGGCAGGCCTTGGGAACAGGAAGGGGACCCTGTAGGAGGCTGTGCTGGGGTGGTCAGCAGTGGGATGTTTCCAAGGGGACAGGCCCTGGTGCAGTACCTGGCCTTGCCCTCCTTGCAGCCGACGATACAGAGATCTCCTTTGACCCTGAGAACCTCATCACGGGCATCGAGGTGATCGATGAAGGCTGGTGGCGTGGCTTTGGGCCCGACGGCCACTTTGGCATGTTCCCTGCCAACTACGTGGAGCTCATTGAGTGAGGGGAGCCAGTCCCTGTCCCCGCCATGGGGCTTCCTGATTTGGGAAGAGGAGGCCTGGAGCTAAAGTGTGGCATCTTCAGGAGGGGACTCAAGGAGAACAAAGCCTTGGGACGCCCTCTGCCTGGGTGGCTGAGCCTCCATCACCCAGAAGCAGCAATAACCCTGTGATCCCCAGACAAGCTTCCTGCAGCCTCCCAGGCCGCCCACCAGCCTGGCCCTGGGCCCAGGGGGAGACCGAGCCAACCCCACTGTGGCCATTCCCAGGTGACCCTTGCCAGGGGACAGCATCCACCACTGAGCTGAGGGGCTCTGAGCAGGGGCATCTGGAAGTCGCCTTCTTATTTGCCTTTTTTTTCTTTCTCTCTGGCCTGTACGGGGTGGTGGCTGCAACTGTTAGAATGACCCTTGGGAACAGTGAACTTAGAGAACTGCCTTTAGCAGGGTGTGTGACCAAAGTCTGAGCGGACTGTGATTTCTGTGAGCAGAGAGGCAGCCTTGCCGAGCCCGCTCTGCCTCACTCCATTTCTCTGTTCCTGTGTCTGGGCTGTGGGAAGTGGAGGTGGAAAGACCAGGTTTCTTTCTGGGTGTGTGAAAAATCAGAAAGACACAACGTGTCCTTCCCTGTGGTTCCATGTCTGCTGGCCTGTGTGCGCCGCCTCTCAGCTGCTGTTGGGTTCGGGGAAAGGAACATGGTGGCCCTAGCTTGCTACCTCCCATTTTATGCCTCAGCCCATCCAAGTATCTGAGGGGAAAATCTAAGAATTGCAGTGAGGTATCCAGGACCCAGGTTAGGCCTGCCCGGCTGTCGCCTGAACAGCCTTGTGCCGTGGGGGTGTGCGTGCACAGGTACCTTCACACCTCAGGTGTGCCCAGAGTCACAGCCTCCTCACCATGAGGACCAGCATGCAGTACAGGAGTGCCTGGGAGTCAGGTGTATGGATGCCCAGTCTTCCCTCCTGACACCCCTCAGGTTTTCCCCCCAGCACCCGAGGCCCTATGAATCTGGGCTGTTACAGGCTCACCTGTCCTGCAGGAGTGGGGGCATTCTCCAAAGGAAGCAGTGTCCTGGCTGTGGGTTAGGCTGGGTCATTCTGGGCTGGATATGGTCCTGGTTTGGTCAATAGCCAGGATGGTCACTGGGCTTCTGCCCCAGCGATGTGGGTGTGGGGGTAGCCGGGGTCCTTGGTTCATGGTGCAGGCTGGGCAGGCCATGACCTTGGCCCGCCTGGCCACAAGGCACTCGAGACAGTGTGCAGAGATGCTTTATTGCCCGTACTACCCTCATTTGGCCTTGCCCTGGGCAGCCACAGCCTCCATGGCCTTCTTCACAGTCTCCTCGTCTCCCAGGAAGCGCATGGGCTTGGTGGGCTTCAGTGCCTTGTCCAGCTCATACACGATGGGGATCCCCGTGGGCAGGTTCAGATCCATGATGGCCTGTTCCGACATCCCTGCACCCAGGGAGCACCCTTAGCCATACAGCAGACACCATGACCTTTGTGGGCCACAAGGCTGTGCCCCCATGGTGCCAACCCAGTCCCAAGAGCAAGGGTATGGCGATGCGCCTAAAGGTCGGGCAGAGAGACTGAGTGGTCTTCGGAAACAGTCTGGGGTAAGACCAGACCTCACCCTCGGGAGCAGCTGTGATCTGTGCCAGTGCTGCCTGGGTCTTGGCCCGGGCCAAGAGGGATTCCAGAAGGACACTAGCCGTCCATTTCCAAGTTCTGAGCTAGACAGTGGTGGAAACCCAACCCGCCTGCCCCAGCAGCCCCCGCCCAGAATAGCAGCTCAACCTTTGCTACTGGAGCCACCCCACCCTCCCTGAGCCGAGGCCTTGGGACTGCTCCCCCGAGATGAGAGGCAGGGACACCCCAGTCCCTCTGAAGTCACACCTGCCATAGGGCCTCTACCCCTAGAAGTCCCCCGGGGTACCCCACTTCCTTCCTCGTATTCCCAGCAAGGTGAAGGTCATTAGGGGGCTCATCCGGACAGTGCTATGAGTCCCAGTGAAGGACACTGGCCCTTGGGGACTTCTCATGCCGCCAAGGCCCATTTATCAGCCCTCCTTGCTCTTAGGTGTGCCCCACTTAAGCTTGTAGCCCTCAGCTGCTCCAGACCTCTGCACCCCTCTGGCCTATGAGGCCAGGGCCCTGCTCAGGCTGAACCCCACACCAAGAGGCAGACGGCCCAGGGAGGAGCCCCACAAACTCCAGGTTTGGCCCTTCCAGCTGGATGCCACCTTATACCCCAGTTGGCCCCCCCAGCAGCCGGGCCATGTTTCCTGCAATGCACCCCACAGACAGCAGGTTACACATGTGTTTCTTAAATGTTCTCAACCTGCTCAGTCCTGGGCCTTGCTGCCTCGCCCTGCCATGGGGGCTGAGTGGAGTAGAGGCCGAGCCCCGGTCCCTAAGTGTGGGCTCACCTTCCAGGTGTTTGACGATGCCCCGCAGGCTGTTGCCATGGGCCGCAATGAGCACCCTCTTGCCAGCCTTGATCTGGGGGGTGATCTGCTCATTCCAGAAGGGCAGGGCCCGGGCGATGGTGTCCTTGAGGCTCTCGCAGGTGGGCAGCTCCCCTGGCTTCAGTCCTGCGTAACGGCGGTCCTGGGGGTGCAGGGACACTGCCACTCCCTGGCTGGACACCCATCCCCCCATATCCCCCAGACTCCTGACCTGTGGCTCCCTGGGGCCTCCCAGCAGCCCACCTTGGTGATGGCGGTGTAGTAGGGGTGCTTCTCATCCATGGGGGGCGGCGGGGTGGCAAAGGAGCGCCTCCAGATCTTCACTTGCTCCTCGCCATGCTTGGCAGCTGTCTCGGCCTTGTTGAGCCCCGTGAGGCCACCATAGTGCCGCTCGTTGAGGCGCCAGGTACGAACCACAGGCAGCCACATCTGGTCCGTGCCATCCAGGATGGTCCAGAGGGTGCAGATGGCCCTCTTCAGCACCGACGTGTAGCAGATGTCAAACTCCATCTTGGCTTCCTTGATGGCTAGGGCCCCGCGTTTGGCCTCCTCGATCCCCTTCTCACTCAGCTCGGCATCAAACCACCCACAGAAACGGTTCTCCTGGTTCCATGAACTCTCACCGTGGCGGACCAAAACCACGCGATGGGTGGCCATGCTGGTAGGGGAACTGGACATCAAGATGGGGACAGCCACCTCCCTAGCACCCCAGCTTTATTTCTGCCCAGCCCCAGCCCCCTCCGCCACCAACTGCCAATCAGCATTCCGGGAGGCCCAGGCAGGAGCAGGTGGCCAGTGGGAGCAGAGCTGTGGGGGTGGGGCACAGGCCGAGGAGCGGGATTTAAAAATAGCCACACAGCTACCAGCAGGGGCTGGGCTCAGGTGACAGGGCCATAACCGGCTGGCACCCAGGGTCCCAGCTGCGGGTGGGGGGCAGAAGTCAGGCTTGGGGGAGGAAGGGCTGACAGTGTTGGGCTCCTAGAGTTTGGGACTCCCTGTGGCCCCATCAGCCCTCCACTGCTGGGACAGAGCCATATAAAGAAGCCCAACCCCTCTCCTGGTCACTCTGGTACTAAGGGTTAAACTCAGGGCCTTGAATGTGCCAGGCAAGCTCTCTGCCACTGAGCTACATCTTTAGTCCTTTTTCACATTTTTTGAGACAGGTTCTTGCTAAACTGCCTAGACAGGGCTCAAACTTGCAGTCCTCCTGCTTCAGCCTCCCAGAAGGCTAGGATCACAGGTGTACTCTTCCTGCTCACTCTTAACACAGTGAGACAAACTTCTTGCGTCTCAGGAAGGAAACCAGCCCAGTGTCAAGGGGACCCAGGGAGTGTGTGCGTGTGCCATCCGTGCAGGGTGTCTGAGTATGCACATGTGTGTGTCTGCAGCACACACTTGTGCACATCCTGTGTGCAGGTATGGCATGTGCAGACAAATGTGTGCATAAATATTTGCTGCCAGGTGTCCCCGCTCCACAGCATTGCCCTGCCCAACCTGGTGGGACGCTGGTGGCTTGGTCATCCTGGCCCTGCCCTGGCAGCTCCCTCGGCTGCAGCTCTGCTTGGCGATGCCAGTGGGAGCCTGTGTCTGGCTAGGTGGAGTCCCAGGCCTCCTGCATTCAGGTCCCGGAACACTGGTCACAAGTGGGGAGCAGCAGCTTCTGGCAACAGGAGATTTGGCCTGGCTGTGAGGTGCTGCTGCCCACAGCGGGCCAGGTATCCTAAGCAGAAGTGGGAGAACATCCTGTGAGTTGGGGTGCCCAGCCTTCCTAGCAGCGCTCTGCCTGTCCTGAAGGAAGCCGTGTCTCCTGGGGACACTACCCACCTTCTACCCCTTGAGTACACCAGGAATTACTCACTGGCCCAACCGTAACTGGTGCCCAGGAGGAGGGAGCTGGCAGGATGCTGGGGACAACTGCTTTCTGGCAGGGGCACAAGGAAGGGACAACCCTGGAAAGCACATACAGGTGGAAATGGCAGGACACAAAGGACTCACTTGGTAACAGTGAGCCCTCAGGGGACCTCTCCAGGCTGCGGAGCCAGGAAGGACCAGCGCCACAAATGGGGCACATGGTACAGGTGGCTCTGTCTCCCATTGGGGTGGGCACTCAAAACGAATCATGTGCAACTGTGGAGGCAGCAGGTGCTGGGCTCCCTGGAGAAGGCCATGGATCAGGTGAGAACAAGGTATAGACCTGGGGCCTGCTGGCCTTGTGGCACCTGTGGGGTGTCGGGAAGGCAGGGGAGGTGAGACCCGGCCTCCAGGCCAGCAACACAGCCTGACAAGCATTTGCTCATGGAGTGTTCGTGCAGCACAGGGGAGAGCAAAGGAAGTGAGTGCTGGGGCCCAACTATCCCCAAGTGTGACATTGAGCACCTAGTGGTGCCCAGCCTGGATGTGGAGGCAGCCAAGACTTGAGCTGCACCAACTGTGGGCAGAAAACAGACCTAAAAACCCCTAAGAGCAGCCAGAGAAAAGTGCTGTGCTTTCTGTCAGGGAACAACTCAAACAGCTGTGAACTCCTCACCAGAAACCACAGAGGCCAGAAGGAAGTTGTAAAGTGTTGGAATAAAAGCACTGCATCCAACAATCTGTATCTTGGGAGAACTGGAGGCCAGGATTTAGCTCAGTGGCTCTGCACCCGCCTTGTAAGCACAAGGTCCTGAGTTTGATCTCCGGTGCCAAAAAAGAAAACTGGAGGGTAAAGTGGTTTTCCCACATGAATGCCTAAGCCAATCCCTGGGGACTGCCCAGCACTGCTGCCATGGACTCACGCTGTGACACATGGGCCTTTGGGGGACAGTCTCGACCCAAACCATAGCGCCCAGCAAAGAAAGTTTGTTCCTTAATAAAAAAAAGAAATATATAACTGTCTCAATATATGTGGGAGACACTTTTTTTTTGGTACCGGGAATCAAACTCGGGACTTTGTACTTGCAAGGCAGGCAGTGGAACCACTGAGCTAAATTCCTGGCTCATGTAGGAGACACATTTTGATGAAATCCAACACTTATAAACTACAATAGAAGGGAAACCTAATAAAGGGCACCCACAGAAATGACACAGCGTCACACACATCAAGGACAGCTGGAGCAGTAGACAGGCCTGCCCTCCCACTTCTGCTCAGCATCGTATGAGGGTCAGGTCAGAGCAGTTACACAAGAAAAAGAGGTAAGAAACATGCAAGTCAAAGAGGAAGAAACAAAACTATTGTGTCTGGTTTTATAAAGGAATAAATTTAATAGAAGATTTGTAAAATCCATACTCTGAAACTATAAAATATCATTAAAATACACTAAGAAGCCAGGCACAGTAGTGCACACCTATAATCCCAGCACTCAGGAGGCTGAGGCAGGAGGGTCACTATTAGTTTGAGGCCATCCAGGGCTACACAGTAAGTAGTCTAAGGCCAGCCTGAACTATACAGTAAGACGTTATCTCAAAAGAAAAGAAGAAAAAGAAACTAAGGAGATCTAAAGAAATTTTAAAAACCTGTTTATGGATCAGAAGACAATATTGCTAATGAAAACCCTCCTTGAGCCGGGTGTGGTGGCGCACACCTGTCATCCCAGCACTCAGGAGGCTGAGGCAGGAGGATCACTGTGAGTTCGAGACCAGCCTGGGGCTACATAGTGAGTTCCAGGTCAGTCTCAACTACATAGTGAGACCCTGTCTCACCA